GGACCAGTATTCCTTTTGTGAAAGGGGAGGAACAGATGAGCACTGCTAGAGTCCTAAAAAAATGATCTCCAGGAGTCCACTGGTGTGAATGTCTCTGACCACAACAATCAGAAACCAAATTTCATGAGGGTAGCTTGATGGCCCGATGTCTTCTAATGGGCCCTGTGCTCATTGCCCGGCACCATAGAACTTGATTGGCATTTGCCTTTGAACACCGGAAATGGAGGTCCACTACTGCCCTGTTCTTTTCACAGGAGAGCAGGTTCACCCTGAGCACATGTGATAGACGTGAAAGGGTCTGGAGAAGCGCGGAGAACGTTATCACTGTCGTACAATCGTGTATAGCATGACCTTTTGTGGTGGTTATGATTGTCTGGGAAGCCGATATCCATGAAGGGACGCACAGACCGTCTATAGGATAGACAATGGGCACACCTGACTGCCATTAGCTCCGTCGGGGAATTGACCAATTCTTCGGACCACATTGTCAGAACCCTATGTTTAGTGCAGTGGGTCCTCGGGTTCCTTCTGGTGCTCGCGCGCGAGTGCGCCGCCTTCATGTCAGGACCCGCAGAGTATGCCAGGCAGTAACATGGAGGATGAAGGAATATATTGAAATATTAAATCAATACCACTTAAAATTAATAAATAAGAAAATAAAATTGGATGATTATTGGTCGGAAAAAACAAAATTGATACCATAGAGATGAGAACCTTATACGACTGCCCTGAATCAGAGACAATCCAATAGAACATATAGATGGGAAATATCATGCTTTCTGTCTCCTTGCTGCACGCCAGGCCATAGCACCCCTAACCCCCCCTTGTACCTTCAGAAGGCTCAGTGATGCCCTGGTCACCTGATCCTCGAAGGAAATACTACCAAGGACCAATCCGTCATCTCCTTCGTCTCCATTTACAAGAGCATGCCTCGATGTTGTCATGTCATGCATTACCAGTACGTGGGGGCACATACAACTACCATTGTGTGTAGCTGCAATGATAAATATCAGCATAAAATGGACTAGCCCTGCTTGAATAATTTTTTTTTCGACTTTGATTTTCACGGTGATGTCTTTGAATTCACTCCTACTGTAGGTTGATAATTTTTCATTTCCATCAAACAAATTGGGCATTGCGTACATTCCTAACACCATTACCACCAGTCCATGTCAAGTATAGATATCGCATGCCGCATGATCTATTTTTCCCTCATTGAGATCTGATGAGTGTTTTCAAAGTGTTACTTTAATTTTTTTGTGCAGATGTACTACAATCCAGCACTACTGAAAGTAAATCGTTTTTTGAGCTGTACACTTTTGTGCATAGTTTGACTGTGAAATACAAAAAAGTGTTAACGGTCCCTGATTAAAGTCTTTTTCCCTTGGTTTGTTGATCTCATGTCTTTCTTTTTTGAGGGGTATGTAAAATCGTTCATGAAGAACACTTAAAGAGAATGAATCCCAACTGTCCATCCATAACATATGACATCAGTCAGTTGTTTGATTTTATCGATGACTTAGCAGATCTTAGCTGTTTGTGTAAGTATTTTGCCGCCAACCCTGCCCCCCCCCTTTTTTTTTATGGCAAATGTGATATCGTATGCATGCCTGTAAATCCTGGTACACACGAAGAGAATATTTGTTTTTGCATGCTTCAGTGTCTCATATCGAAACCAAATGGGTTATTAGAGTTACAAAAATTCTCAAAACAACAAAATACGTACACTTCCTGCAGTGATGTAATCTTTCCTTTCTCAGCATGCATGGTCTTGGTCACACAATTTGTTTTTTCTTTTTTGAACGGATGCACGTATACTATACTGATTAGTTGAAAATTATTTGTTTGTTATCGATGACAGAATTTGTTCCTTGCTTGTCCCTTTTGGATAAAATTCCGCCACCTTGTCTGACAGCACAGCAAATGTTGCAAGGCACCAATGAAGATGGACAAGATTACTCACTTTGTCCCATCAGGAAAAAAGAATAATGTATATTAAAAAAAAAATACAATTTTTTAATGTATACCTTTTTTTTTAATAAGGTGGTTGTTTTGCAAACTACTTGTGCTGTTTGAAAGCAACATGGATATTCGAAGACTCGACAAGTTGTATCCTATGGACTGTGTTTAATATTGAATAGTGAACTGTGTTGGCAAAATAAACACATAATGTTTTATAATATAAGTCGACAAAATAAACAGATAAGCAGTTTTTCAGTTAGCACTAACACAGCAGCATTGTATTAAAAAAAGCTTCCATTCCCTGCAGCTGGCATTTTTAACAGCTGATCATTTAATATCTTGTTCCCTTTACTAATATCTGAATTTTCACAGAAATATCATGCTTCTGATAAACTCATGGAAAACTCAAGCCCCAGAAGCCTTTGCAATGTTAGCCGCAGCCAGTGGTAAAGATTAATGATCCCCAATTTACTGTTCTACTCTTGCAGGTACCGTGCAGACACTGTCAGACAATAACCAACCCTACAATAAAGACTGGATCAAAGAGAAGATTTATGTTCTGCTCCGTCGACAGGCTCAGCAAGCAGGCAAAATAGGTGAGGCAGTGCGGGAGAGCTGACATGTACAGCGGACACCAGAGGGTGTTTTGTTTTGTAATTATAGTGGATTTGTGTTTTTCTTTATGCTTTAGGGGCACAGAGTTTTAGATCAAATTTGTCATATGTTGGAAGTTTTTCCTTTTTTATTCAACCTTGTTTAGCCAACCAAGTCTGTCTGGTTGGGCCTTTCACCTACCAAATTCACTGTAAAGTTCAGCAGCACTAACAGTGTAGAGCTAGACTGTTCAGTGATTTTTGGCACCCCCCCTGTTTGGCCAAGGTTAAGTTATGCCTTACATCAGATGTTTTAGAAACCATTAATAAACTCCTAAGTTGATAGTTAAAATGTGGTTTTTGTGTTTTTTTGGGGTTTTTTTTTTTCTTTTGGTTTTGTTTTCATTAATTCTTTTTTCTTTTAATTTTTTTTTTTTTTTTTTTGCTAAAATCATGCTGTTAGTGCAACTATAAAATTATCATTCATCTGAAATAAGCTGTTGATTATGTTAATGGTTAAAATTATAAAGTGTTCAGTGTTTCATGCAGATTAGCTCACATCAACAGAAAACGTTGAGCTTTGGACAATATTATAAGCCCTATTAAAGCAGCAGCACCCTCGGTGGCTAAAATCCAGAAGTGTTCTGAACCAGCATCTCATGTTGCAGAGTCTGGCCTAATGCTCTGACTTCCAGGGCCTCCCTAGTGGCCTGGCCAGAGCCAGAAAAGGTATGCATTATGGTAATGAGCCAAGATATGAGATTTAGAAAGTGTGGGCAAGCTAGTTGATTTTTTTTTTTCTCATACCAAAGTCCTCTTAGTGGGGATTTAGCGTGCACGAAATTAAGAAATAGTCAAAGATTTTCCGTCTCTGTAGAGCTTAAACCTCAAAACAAAAATATAATGTATTGCAGCCTACATAGTCCTTCAATATGGGGCTTGTCTTCCCTTTTTTTTTTGCTTTTAGCCCAAATTTGGGAGAAGTGACATTTGTTGATTCTTTGTGATTGAGCATTGCTACCTTGGTACAGGAGATGTTTTATGGCAAAATTACCAGATGTGAAAAAAGAGGAAAACCTAAGAGATTGAAAACAAATGCCATAGCCACAACCATTTGAGGCTGGTAAGCTGCAATACATTGTTTGTTCTAGGTACAGTTTTTAAAGCCTAACTTCTGCTTTGTAAAGGGGAAAAACGGCGGACTAGTTCGTGTTGAGTTGTGAGATTGGACCCTGGAGAAAAGCTTTTGAGGATTACTGATACCACCTATAATAGCACTGCCCCAATCTGATGTCGAGTCCTCGTGTGGTTGTTGTTTGAGTTTTTAGCTTGTGTCCTAAGGGTGAGGGATCTCTTCTCCTCCTTTGCTGGAGAGAATATTCACTCTTTTGACTTTTTACGTTTCTTTTATGGTTTTGTCTTAGGAAGTCTTCTATCAACTCCTTCACTTTCCTCTAATACAAACAAAAAGAAGCTAGTCCATCTGGATTGGTGGCAGACTTCAAAACTATTGCTACATGCGTTCTAAGAAGCAAGGTCCATTGCTGTTGGAAGCCAGGCCGTAAGACCCCGAAGAACCCCTGTCGTTCATTATGCCACACTGTGAAAGTATGGTGTATAAAAGATCTTAAATGGTCCCCCCCCATGCATTGGGAACATGTAAGACATCCAGTCACCCTGTTCCTCTGGCTGATTTAATGTAGTCCCACTTGCCAAGTAAGAATTATTTACCTCCATTACTTACATTTAAACTATAGCATAGGTGGATCCTGAATAGTTTGCCGCTTATCTATTAAAAAAACTACTAGGAAACCAAGAATGTGTTTGAAATGTATTCACCTACAGTGTTAAAATTTATGAATTGGTGCTAAAATTCAATCACAGGCCAGCGCAATGTAGCGGCAGAAATCAACTCATTCCTGCTGAAATCAGCGCCAAATCCCGTTCACTATAATCGATAGTTCACATGTGGCCAAAGCTATTCGTGGCTTTCTGCACAGCCGTAATTTCTTCGTGTTGCACACAAAATGTCTAGCAGGTAATCGCTGGCTGTGTGGACAACTGCGCATACCTGTAGCCACCAGCAACCTGTCATTATAGTGAATGAGGCCAGTGGCTGCACCTAGCTGCTCAGTCGCAGCAGGAATCAGAAGATTCCTGCTGCTGCAATTCTTACCAGCCTTAATTGCCGGTGTGAATGGGACCTTAGAGCTTAGTCTCAATTAGATGACCAGGTGTTACATAACACCACAGGTTGGACATTTTAAAAACCATTTCTGCCTAGAGCCTTATAAGGTACTCAGGTGCCACCTCCCAACCTTTTGCGCAAGTACTTTGCTACAGTGCAGCCTACACTGAGTAGGCTGCGTCATCCTTCTGGACATGCTTACCCTACTTTCAGTACCCCATAGAGGAATACCTATCGCTTTGTCAAAGGGTCGAACAACACTCAGCCTCAGTGACCATGCTTCCCTTGTACCAGAGGAGGACACCATTTTTAACACTGGGCTCTGCATCCAGTTCTAGCTATATCTCTAGCACACAGCATGAGGATTATTTTACAGAGGCAGAATTTTCTGCAGTTCTGTACCACTTCAACAGCTAACAGCTTTTATACAGCTATTACTGCCAAAAGCTCTGAAACGCCAGTCTCTTTCCTCCTCTGCCTTTTCTAGAGTCAGATCTTGCTATGCCCTTCCTGAAAGAGGCAGACTAAAGGAGAAATAGAGGACCTTGAGAAAGTCGAAGATATCACTCCCTCAGACTCCTTTTATGCCTAATACTATGGCTTTACACAATACACTAGCCGCTATTCCCTTCTGTGTTGCTCAAAGATCTTAGCATTGGCCTACTCCTTTTCCATCTCTATGTCCCTTTTGGGTCCTAGGAGACCCCTTAAGTCTAAAAGGGAACTCCCCATTCAAGAATGAATAAAAGTGGAAATTAAGGACAATTGAGTCAATCCTGGAATGATTTTAACTCCTCCAAAAATTATTACTGAACTCTATCCAATGGAAAACATTTTGCTACGAAGTGAGCTTTTTCAGTAGTAGATTCTGCTGTTTTTAGTCTTAAGAAAACATTTCACTGTTTTCAATTAAAAAAAAACCAAAAACAAATTCCTAAATTGAGGGATTCCGCAAATAGAAGTTTTGAGATGCTCAGCTCTTTACACTTGCATGACCAGGTTTGCAACCAACTATCTCTGTGGTTTGTCAGATCGCAGCTACTTGTACCACCTTCACAATCCTGGTTTCTTGGACTGTACCTTAATGGAGCAACTACAGCAATTGCCCCTGTCTTGCTCCATTGTGCAGATGCACCACAACTAATCATAACACACATTTCTAGAATGTCTTTGATTTCCATTCACATGCACAGAATCTTTGTGGCTGAAAGCCTGGTCAGCAAAAGCGACCAGTAAAAGATGCCTCAAAGGAGGATGTCTCTGGTGAAACACTTTACAAATTCATCAAAGATGTCCGGAATCAAAAATTCAAAAAGCCTTCCCTTCAGGAGCCATTTTCATTTTCCAAAACATAGAGCATTTATTCATTCTACCCAGGCTTAAATTTCTAGACTGATGTTCAGCCCTTCCTTCCAGCCCAAACCTAGGTTCTTAAAACCTGCCAAGAGTTCTGCAAAGCCTTTTTCCCAAAGAAAAAGTACCCTCACTCTTAAAAGCAGGGGAACGTCTGTTGTAGTTCTTGGTCACTGACATTACAGACCTGTGGATTCAATTAAGGATCAGAGAAGTACAACATAAAGTGCAAACCTTTATCCACTCATGCCTCCTTCCCTATCTGCTCAAAGACAGATTTGCGGGACATCCTGAAATTCTTTCTGGGATCTTATTTTCCCAGTAACTTTCCCAGAGGACAGGTTTAAAGATTTTACTTCTTTCTTTTTTTTTTTTTTTTTTTAATATTTTATTAAATTTTCTTTTAATACAAATACCCAAAAAAGGGAAATAAAATTCATACAAATAGACCCTTTATAAATTTTTACCTTTCCCCTT